ATCATTTATTATTGCTTTATTAATTTTGCTTCCGCTTAGTTCATGAACTCATGTTGAAATTTGGATATTTGATTATGTCGTTTTGAACTTGGGAATTATGAATTATCTTTAATGATTTGGAACTTATTGAATGCTAGTTTGGTTTATGATTTATTATTCGTGCATGTCGTCTTTATTTGATGTGTTTGCATTTTTGGATAAAAGTTGTTGGTAAAATGAGTAACGCCCACTGAGTTTTTAATTAAATTAAAGTTTGCGAAAAATATATTGTGATTGTTATTAAATAAATTCGATAAATCTTTTAAAATAAAGTGGGGCGTTACAGTTTGGTATCAGAGCCAGTCTGCGTTTCTGTAGACTGGTCTATATGTGATTAAGTGCTTAGAAATTGTATACGACCACTCGTCTTCGTCACGCCGCGCTGCTTAATGGTATGTTTATATAAGTATCGATGAAAATACTTATAATGTGAAGATGTGAAATTGTATATTTTTACATAGGCAGTAATGAAACTGTTTATGTTATGACCATGTTGAAATTGGGGCTTAGGATCTATCCACCTTTAATGAGATTGAACTCTAGTGTTTGATGTTGAACTCTAGTGATATAGAGTTAAGTTCGGACTCTAGAGGTTCCTCGTTATGAGTTTCAATATGTTGTTATCGAGATAAGTTATGCCCATAGCAGTTTCCCTTGCTATATAATTATATTCAATGTCTTCAAGTGAGGACCCGGTCAATGAGAACCGAGAATGTATTCGCCCTCTTCGGACCTTTGCCAGGTTCGAAAATTATGAGATGAGTCGATGTTTTATAGACTGTCAATATCATGGAGGTTCATGGCCTCTGTTCAACATCTGGTGTGTTATATGTTTTATGTCTCTTGTGTCTTAGTAGGAGTGAGTTTATGCTAGCTCGAAGCATGATTAGTTGGGCAAGAGATAAGGATATATGTTTATTTGATGCTCTAACATGTTTATGTGTTTCGGTTAAAAGCTAGAAATACCTCTCGAACTGGTGATATGATGACATAAGTGTATTAGGTTGAGAGTCTCGTTTATATCATGGTAGGTTTGATCGAGTTCATTTGATATATATGTGATCTTCGATGATTGAGGTTGAATTTATGTATTAATGTGAATTGTTATATATTATCAAACCAAAAGATGTAATAATTCAAGTGAAAGGCATAAGACTTTATTTTTCTATCTTGTTTAATAAGACCGAGTTGGACCTCGGACAACGTGTAATTTACGTGATTTCGAGGCTATGTCGTTGTGTGATCATTTTGAGTTGATGAAGGCATGAAAACCTGAATTTTGAGCCTCAGTTGTGCTCCGTTTTCGTCGAACAAGATGATGTTTCTTGGACAAGTATACTTCATGAGAATTGTAGTTCTCTGAATGAAGTTTCTGTGAGTTTTATAATTTTGTGATTTGGAGTTAAAATGAATTTGTTATGATTTTTCTAAGTTCGTCGGGTATGCTGTTTTGATAAACTCGGACAGAAGGATTTGATTTTAGTTCATGGCTAATTTTGATGATCTTAACGTGCCAGCATGAAAATGTATTCTTCATAAATAATGTAGTACATGTTATAAGATTTCATTAGGAGCTGAAATCATGCAATTTGGAGTTTTGGTTGATTTTATATGAGTTTTCTAAGTTGGTATTATGCCCAGAATTTTGAAGCAGTGGCTGTGTGTATGCACGAAATATATGTTCTGAATTGATGCCTTTAACGTGATGATATGTAAATATTTTCTTCATGAAATTTGTAGCTTTCCTTGTGTAGTTTCTGTAGGTTTTTTGATTATATGATTTGGAGTTCCAGTTGATTTTATATAATTTTTCTAAGTGGAATGTACATCCAGTTGTTATGAACCCAAAATTTTGTTTAAGTGTTGAATGTGTACTTTGTTTAGGTGACCTAAACGTGTTCTTATGAAACAGTCTTCTTCATAAAATTTGTATATTTCCATGTGTAGATTATATAGGTTTTGCGTTTGTATGAGTTGAAGTTATGTAGCCTGAGTTGTTGCTACTTTACTAAGGTGCTGTATTTTCGAAAAATTATTCTCTGACTGTATTTGCAAACTAAATGTTTTATATTCAAACTTGTTGATAATATTATAATTTGTCAATGGGGTCTTCAAAGAAGTTATAGAGAACTGAATTAGCTACCTTGGGGTTTTTGAATTTCAATAATATCATGTTTGTAGCTTCGGTTATTGTGCATACACTGAGAACATGTCAAGCTGCATATCTTTATTTATCCACTGCACCCATGTTTTGGATGTTTGCTGTATTATGTGCCTTTAAATGACTTCATCCGCCTGAGTGTTCTTCATGAAAGTGATAGAGGCATGAGTTAGGGATATTTTTCAAGTCGTTTCATCATGATATGATCTGTAGACTGGAAACTATATGCATTTTAAATTCAACACGCATGCTGAAAAATTTGTGCTCGTTCATGTTTATGTTTTCCAAAATGAATTGTGGATTTTCAAAAATTAGCTTTTCGTCAACTTTCATGTTTATGTGACCTATGTGACTTAATCTGATTGGTGTCATGATGTTAGCTAGAAATACTTGTGAGGGAAGCTTTACGCTAGACCTCGAAGTGTAGAGGCTATAGTTGTATATGTGGTCGATCTCGTTTAGGACCGCCGGCACGATTAGCTACTTGAGTAAATACTGTCGTGACGGCCGACAATTTTTAGTCGGAAGGGTCAAGCGAGCTAACCATTCTAATGTTCGGCGATAACCGCCGAGGTTAGGATTTTGTCGGGCAGTGATGCCCATGTTCGATTCCTATGGAAAATTGTAGCTCAACAGTGATGCTTAAACTGTTGTAGTTCGAGAAGTATTGTAAGGAAGCCTTTTTCCTATCTGAGTATCTAGGAATCTATGGACCCGGAAATTGAAATTTCTGGTGTGTACCTTAAACTGAACGCCGAACCTGGATGGGTGTAGCCACGCGAAGTGGTGGCCGAGCCCGCACGCCCGTGCTGAGAGACGTGAGGCCAACTGCAGTGGCCGACCATTGACTCGCACGAGAGCTGCCACCGCCATCACCAAACGCAGGAACTCCCCAGGCAGTGTGTACGGCCAAACCTTGATCTTGCAGCTGGTCCCTGGACAGGTGCATGCACACGTCCTGGCGCCCCGCTTATGCAGCGCCTGTGTGTGTGTCATCTCTCGGGTGACAGTGCCTTAAACTCCAAACCGAATCGTTGTATGGAATCCCTAATCAACGACTCTCGATATTTGAGGCTAGTCGATTAGTTTTCCCTTGTCTTGTGTGAAATTCCCTCGTGTTAGCGAGATTTAGGTCCCTCATCGTTTTCGGGTAGTGTCCCGAGTCTCGATTGGAGACTATGTATACTTCGTAGGGATCGAGACCTACGAAGAGTGAGAGAGTTTTGATGTTACATCGTTAGTATAAGAATATCGAGCATCCCTAATCGTGAGACCGATTCTGCGATAGGAGATTGTTTTCGAACATCTAGTCGATATTTCCTAAACCGCATTCGAGTTGTTAGTCGAGTCGGCAAGGGAAGAGTTGTTGACAACGGTATCAAACAGAGCCGTGTGTTCTGTAGGTATCGGTGTTGAGGATATATTGTTATTGTGGATTGTTAGCCTATCTGTATGGGATTCCGCGGCGGCCTGTTTTATAAGGACGCATGGATCATGTCAGCATAGTAATCGAGTTTTCTAGCGTGACCCGGGCACGAGATTGAAGCTCGATGCTACGAGTCAACCCTGTATGTTGATTCCGTTGGAGTATGCTATCGAGACACGAAAGGACCGGTTAGGGTCTTGTGTATTGATAGATGGGTAGGGTGTGAGAATTCCTTACCATGCGAGGTGGCTGGTACGGATAGAGGTGGAGTATGCCTTTGTTTTGGTTACTGCCACGAGTACTCAGTCCTATTTTGATTTCTGACCAAGTCGATGATTTAGCCTGATGGTTGACTCCACCACCAGAACTCGTGAGGATGCATGACACGTTCTGTGCCTCTCGATGGAGGAAACGTGTGCGTGATCTCGGAGTACATGTGAGATGTGACGAGCTGCGTGATAGGCAGAACCCTACCTGTTTGGAGGTACCGGTGAATTTTAGAAAAAGGCCGGGAGGGGTACTCGTCAAAGTCCAGTGGTGGTTGTCAAGACAAGGCGACTTGGGAGGAAGGGACCGAAATTCGGAAGAGGTACCCGAATTTCATGTGTTGATGTTTTCCCCTCTTTTTTTCTCGTTTGTATTCGTGTCGTAGTTTGTATTTCGAATTCCGAGGTCGAAATTCTTTGTAAGGTGGGTAGACTGTAGCGCCCCGTTTATTTGTGGATTATTTGAGAATTATTATTATTATTATTGATGATATTTATTATTGTGATATTATTAATATTATTGTCGCTATTTAATGTCTAAATATTATTGTTTGCCTAATTGTAATTAATTGCCTAATTGTATATTTTTAATTATTAATATTATTATTTTAAAATAATAAATGTATTAAATAAATATTATTCGATTGTTATTTTTTTTATCACGCGATTAAATCGAGCCCGAGAACCCAGAATCGAGCCCTATTATTTTCAGCCCATAAGAACTAAATATTCGGGCCCTTTTTGTTCAAGTATTATCGGCCCGGAAAAGCCCTAATATTCTCGCCCAATAACCCGAACCGACCCAAATCTCTTTGGTGTGTCTTAAGGAACAAATAAAACCTAATCTATTAATTTGTACCCTAATCTCTCTCGATCAATCCGCCCGCAGCCTTCTCAATCTCTCTCTCCCTCTCACTCTTTTGCTCGCGGCAGATAGAAGGAAAAACTGATCGCCAATCATCACCATCTTCATCTCGCTAGTAACAGGTCACCGCCCCCTTGCTCGTCGACCGTCGCCCTGCAAACCTCGACGTGAAGCAGCGCCGACGGCTCTCCATCGCGAACCGCTGCTGCAACACTCACCGTGCGCCGTCGCTCCTCCGCGCGCCTACAACTCGGGCGAGTTTTCCCCGCGCCTCAGCCTGTCGACGCCGCGTGATTCGGCCGTCCCTGTCCGTGAGCAGATCACCGTGAACCAAACGATTTGCCGCAGCCCTCCTTCGCGAGTTCCTCCACTGCGAACTTCTGGCGAGCCGCTGCCCTCCGCGCGCAGGCTTTTTGCCGTGACCAGCACCTCCGTTTGCGACCGCTGGCAACACCATAGACACGCGAGTAGAGCCACGCCGCGAGTAAGAAACAGCCCCTGTTCGATTTTTCCTTTCGACTGCAGCCGTGCGTGGTTAGCAGGAATCCCCGTTCTCACGACCTTCGAGCATAGCAGCGGCACCCCGTCGGCTTCCTTTTCGAGCAATGGAAGCAGCCCGTCATCCGGCAGCGGACAGCTGACGACTCACGAGCAGCAGCGACGAGCACTATTGTGGGGCTGAGCCGTCGAGCCCGAGTACCGCGCAGCTCCTCGGTGACGACCTAGCAGCAACACCTCAGCGACGAGCAGCTCTTCCCTCGCGAGACGATGCGTGCCGTCGAGCATCAGCCTCGTGCTCGCCTCTTCGTGTTCGTTTCGTTTTTCGAGTTTTTCCCGAGAACGGTACCTCGTCGATTCCGTCTCGTTCAACTCATATATGATTTATTTCGTTATGTGTATTGTCGTGAAGTGCTCATTGAAACATATGAAATGCGAGACGTGAATATGTGTGATTATGTATTTCGTTATGATTTTATGTGTCGTTTATGTTGTTCGGGATCTCTTCAATTATGAGAAATTGAACGAGACCTCGAAAGTCGTGTAAGTCAGTGGATATTGGAACGATGTCGAGTCCTTGGCCTTATAAGAAACCCTCGGACGAGAAATTTCGTGTTATGAATTAATTGTTAAATTGTCGAGCTTATATGTCGCTGTTTTGGTGTTTGAATTTTTAAAAATAGCACACTGCTCGGAATGACTTGAAATTTTGAGGGATATGTTATCTGTTCATTCCCAGCCTTTTGTAAAAATTTCGTAAATTTTAGAGGCCGGTAGCTATTTTTAATAACTAAAGTGAATTCTGATCAGAAAATTGGTTAATGCTTAATAAATTGGTTCGTGATTCAAATGAGCTGAAATTTTGATATGTTGTGCCCCTGATGTGTTTATATGTTGTGTTAAATGTTTAGAAATTTTGGAGTATATTTGATGTGGTTAATAATTTATTTATCGAATCTGCTGAAAATAGTTTGAATGTTTATAAATCGGTTGTCTGGTGAAAAATTCTGAAATTTTACTGAGATGCCTATTTTGAGTGTATATTCATGATGTTAAACGATGAAAATTTTTGGAGTTCATTTTAGTCCTGTTCTGATTTAAATTCGATAACTGCAGAATCTTGCATGAATTTTTAAAATTATCACAGTTAATGTTCAGGGCTGAGATTTTTACATGTTGTCTCTATCATGCTGTAGCTTGTTGTGTTAAATTTTTAAGTCCTGAATCGTTCATTTGGTTTGGATATGAATTCATGTGCGTTTTTGCTGATTTCTCGTAGGAATTTTATAAATAAATGTGCTTTGAGTTTAAAGCTGAAAATTTATGGTTTTACTTATTACTGAAAGATGTAATTTTGTGTAAAATTTCAGAGCCTAAGTCGAAGGGCAACCTGGTCAATGAATTTCATGTGATTAATAGCTAGTAATTTTTAAACTATGATTTTGAAGTTAAATTTGTGATTGACTTGCTTTTCGTTTTGATGTGAGTTTGACTTGGTCAATCCTTAGATGGATTTATGTGAACTCCCTTATGTTGGTTGGTCGAATTTAGTATCGAGTCTTAGTGTTCCAACGTCCACAGGACTTCACGAACTACTTAGTCGAAACAAGTTCGACTAGGTTTGTTTTGTGTTTTCCGATTAAGTCAAGATACTGATTGTAGGATCTTGACATAATGTAAGTATTTGAGGAGTCAAGCCTCGAACCACATCTTTTCTGATTTGCTGTCGTCAATCCGAAATTTCCAGGTGGGTTAGTTATTCTAAAATTTCTATGCATATGTGCGTTTTAATTGTGTTGAAAATTTGGTGTGATCTATGAATGAAAATGAACATGTAGCCTACCGATGTGAGCTGTTACGGCCGTCGGTACGGTTGTCCCCGTCGAGTTACGGTACGGTGCCCTTGTGTGGCAATCTCCTTTAAGTCCTGATATGGCCGTGCCCTTGTGAGGTACGTAAGCCCATATGGAAGGCCGTGTCCGTTACAGTGGCACGTACTCCCGCCTTCGGGTAATGAATCCCCGTTCTGCGGCTAGCGATAGATGTGCACAGGAGTAAGGTTAAACGGTGTGATATTGATTAGGAGATGAGACGTGTTGTGATTATTGTTTATGTTCATGCTGCGACCATACCAATATTATGTTATTCATATGCATAGTGTGAGTACGATAGTTAACTGTACTCACTCCCACCTGCTCTTCACGGATGCAGGTTAAGCAGTTGGCGGGTGACAAGACAAGACGGGTGGTGGTTATATCATTTATTATTGCTTTATTGATTTTGCTTCCGCTTAGTTCATGAACTCATGTTGAAATTTGGATATTTGATTATGTCGTTTTGAACTTGGGAATTATGAATTATCTTTAATGATTTGGAACTTATTGAATTCTAGTTTGGTTTATGATTTATTATTCGTGCATGTCGTCTTTATTTGATGTATTTGCATTTTTGGATAAAAGTTGTTGGTAAAATGAGTAACGCCCACTGAGTTTTTAATTAAATTAAAGTTTGCGAAAAATTTATTGTGATTGTTATTAAATAAATTCGATAAATCTTTTAAAATAAAGTGGGGCGTTACACCTATACACCTTCTACAGGTAGTCTTGGTGGTGCAACTAAACATTACTCCTGAGCCTCACGTAAAACTCATGAATTCTCTCTCAAGTAGGAGACCTCACGTGTGGAATTATGTGCTTTTGGGACTTGATGTATTTATACGCTACAAGAGACACCTTAAGGAGGTGCTAAATATGGGCTCCAAGTGTGAACACTGCTAATGGGCCACGCCGAACTTTACGTTCACACTTGAATAATAGAACATTCCACTAGAGTAATATTATTTTACTTCTCATTTAGTTTCGAATTACAAATAATTCGCTCCCGGCTAATTGCTCGAATTACCTCCCCTTGTTTAAGATCTAATGTTTGTTGACTAATTTAATTACTGACAATATAATTAATCAACATCTACATCCGAAACTAGTATCACTCAATTCATTATTATTATGCCAAATTTGAATATATTTGCATGGCTTGACATAATAAACCTTCTTGAGCTCATTTCGAAGACGTCATCAACCCGAAGAACTGGGACATAGTGACAGTAAACAATATGAACGACACATCATGTAAACAACATCACTTACCATAATGTTGAGTATGTCAACCTAATAGAATATGTCTCGCCCATGTTAAATCAAATAAGTAAGTGTTGAATACATTCGAGATGACTAGTGTAATTCGTTCTCTTACGGGTTAAGAGAACGCATTAATTACTAAGGTCTAGATTATTTACTTGCTCAGACTAAAATAATCTTCCCCTCCTGTAGGTTTGTTCAATACATTCAAGATGACTAGTGTAATTCGTTAGTCAAAGATCAACTAACTCGAAAATCACACTACAGCCTTTCTCGACAGCTAGTTCAATTTCATCTAGGCTGTGAACAAATATTATATTTTACAAGGCAACAATAATATGATATGTCTGTTTGACCAATAACAAAGCATATTATCTATAATGTAAAATAAAGGAACTATGTTTGCATAAATAAATAAACTGCAAACACACACTTGACTAAAACATGAATCTCATTCAAATTTGTATTGTTAGAAACTGAAATTCAAGCTTTTAAAGTATACCCTCTCCCACTTATTCTCTATAAACCTCTCGACTATTATCAAGGATACATTCTTTCAATCTAATTCTCAAATATTGGTCTAACTAGTCTCCACGCTCCTAACTTCTATTCCTTCTGCGTGTTAGTCGAATACCTTCGTAAAAGGATCTGTCAGGTTGTTTTCTGACACTATCTTGGCAACAACGATCTTCTCTCATCCAACAATCTCTCGTATAAGGTGGTACATGCGTTCTGTGTGTTGACTCACCTTGTGTATTCATGGTTCCTTCGAGTTTGCTACTGCTCTACTTTTTACAGAAGATTCTGATTGCATCGGGCAAACTCGACACCACGTTAAGGTATAACAGAAAGTTCTTGAGCCAAACCGCTTCTTTTGTTACCTTTGAGGCTGCGACATACTCGGCTTTTATGATGGAGTCTTCCACGTATTTCCACTTGGCACTCTACGAAACTATGGTTCCACCTCCAAGAGGAAACACAGACCCTGAGATGGATTTACTTTCATCTCGGTCTGACTAGAAATTAGAATCAGTGTAACCCAATGGTAAAAACTCGTTTTCTCAGTAAACTAACATATACTCTTTAGTCCTTCTCATATACTTGAGTATATGCTTCACCGCAGTCCAGTGGCACGGTCCTGGATTAGTAGATGGCCACAATGCCCACGACATAATTGATATCTGACTGTGTGCACAGACGATGCATAAGGAACCATCTTTTTGTCTTCTATCCCATGCGGTGTCTTGGGAGACATCCCATTAGACAAAGGGATTCCATGCTGAAAGGAAAGTTGCGCTCTCTTGGTATCCTGTTGGGCCAAGACATATCTATGTACTAGAAACGGGATAAGCATAACATTCTCTTCTCATGATTCCGATTGACCTTGATACTAATAATGTATCCTTCCTCTCTCAGATCCTTCATATCAAACTTCTTGGACAGTCATACCTTTATGCCTTAAAATGCTTTTACACTATTTCCAATGAGAAGGATGTCGTCTACGTATAACACAAGCAACACCACCACGTTTTCGTAACTTTTCTTATACACACAGTTCTCATCTGGACATTAGGTAAATCCAACTGATTGGATAACCTCGTCAAAACGGATGATCCAAGATCGCGAATCCTCTTTCAGTGGGTAAATGGATCGATTAAGTTTATAGACTAGATGCTGTTGGCCCTTTGCGTCGAAACCCTCTAGTTGCTGCATATAGATGTCATCATCCAGATTCTCATTAAGGAATGTTGTATTGACATCCATTTGCCAAATCTCATAATTCATATGAGCGGCAACAGCCAAGAGAATCATGATGCAGTTAAGCATGGCTACTGGCAAAAAGGTTTACTCATAATCAATTTCCTCTTTTTGAGTATACCCCTTCACTACAAACCCAGATTTGAAGGTCTCAACCCTCCTTCTAATCCTCTCATTCTCTTATAGATACACTTGCATCTAATGGCATGAACACCATAAGGTGGCTCGAAAAGATCTTAGACCTGACTGGAGTCTATTAACTCCATCTCAATCTTCATCACTTTGCTAACACTCTACGTCCCGATATCGGAGCGCCTCATCGTAAGTCCATGGGTTAATGTCAAGTCCATCAAGGACTGTCTTAGAAGACTCTTCCAGAAATATGAATCGATAGGGCTGCCTAACAACCCTTCCCACTTTGACGAAGTAATTCCGGCTCAGGTGCATCATCGGTGACACGTTTTGCAGTATCATGTGGTGTATCATCAAGTGCACGTGAGACTAAAGTACAAACTCCCTTTAATTCCTCTAGGACATGTCTACTCGTGGGCTTGTTGTCAATTACATACTCTTCTTCTAAGAACCGAGCATTCATTCTAATGGTTAGAACAAACCACCCTTCATTTCTTTGGGATATCCCACAAACAGTCTCACATCCTAATATGGTTCCAATTTGTCACTTTCTGCCCTTAGAACATGTGTTGGACTACTCCATATACAACTATGACTTAGACTGGGCTTGCGCCCAGTCCAAAATTTCATGGGCGTAGTTGGCACTGATTAGAAAGAACCAAGTTGTAACGCCCTGTTCTTTTTAAAGGTAAAAACTCGAGTATTCAAAAATATGAATAAATTTTGTGAAAACAATTATTCAATTTAAAACCGTTTAAAAGGCATTACCTTTTTTTTTCCAAACGATAGAATAATCTCATACCAACTGAAAAAAAGAGTACAAATTGGAGAGCTCACTAGCTCATACAAGTCCATACAAGAACAGAGAGAACCACTCCACATGGTGGTCTAAGAAGAAGAAACACATCGCACTAAAGGCAAATACAAAGTTTGAGACCTTAGCACATAACTAACACCCACTTCAAAGACATAGAAATACAAAATACAATAATAAAAAGAAGGCCACTGAACATAAGAACCTAACCTCCAAGATACACATCACTAAGAACCTAACAAACAGAATTCAGTCCATTCATTTGTACCTTGCCGCATGATCACAGCCGCAGGCATCCATAGCTTTTGGAACACCCATAAGTTTCGCGATTTCCAAAGCCACCATAAAATGTACGTTGATAGTTGTATGCGGGCTTCGGAAACTGGAGAATTGTCAACTTCTACCATAGACCACCACCAGCTTCTGAAGTTTGTAGTAGGCACTGTTGTAGGATCCCAAAACAAATGTGCTATCTTCCAAACCTGGGCAACCCTCTTGCATGAAAACAGTAAGTGCTCCACAGTTTCTTGTTGCTCTCCACAGCATTGACAGATTGTGTCTAACTGGACCCCTCTACTCAAAAGATTAGCACTCACAGGCAGACTATTGGTAAAGTATCTCCATACATAATGTTTGATTTTGCCTTTCACTTTTAAGTTCCAGCATCTCATCCTTGCCTTCTTGTCCTTAAGAACATTTGAGCTACTGCCAGGCCAGTCCATCCTCAATATTTTCTATTTGATTGCAGCTGAATAAGCAGAACTTACTGTAAACTTTCCCTTGGTATCTGCAGACCACACCCATCTGTCCTTTTCAGCTGGATTCAAGTCCTTCATTTTCAGTATAGCATTACAGGATTCATCAGTAAAGAGAGACTGAATCAAACCCCTATTCCATGATCTTCCATCAGCATACATTAATTCTTTGACCCAAGTCAGCTGTATGCTTGAAACTTCAGATTTAAGAGCAGGTATACCTGTTGGAAGATCAATCACCCAGGGATAGGCTAGGATTTTGGTATTCAAACCATCTCTGACAGTTCTTCTGATATCCTTTTTATAGATTGATAGGACTTTCACCCATGAATTCCAGAGCCAAGAGGCTGACAGATTAGGTTTTGCATCCAACACACATCCTGATGGAAAGTATTTCTCCTTAAGCACCCTTGTCATCAATGAATTTGGCTTTGTCAACAACCTCCAAATCTGTTTCAGTATCAAAGAGTTATTGAAGATTCTGATGTCCTTGAAACCCAAGCCTCCAGAGCCCTTTGGTACTGTAACTTTGTGCCAAGCAACCCAACTAATACCTCTCCTTTGATCATCTCCACCAGACCACCAAAAGGCTGCACTCAAACTGGCTATTTCTTTGCAAATGCTCACAGGTAAGCAGAAACATGACATTACAAAGACAGGAAGGGCATTAACCACAGCTTTTAAAAGTACCTCCTTCCCTGCTGTTGATAGGAATCGATTTTTCCAGCTAATGAGCTTCTGTTTAACTGCATCAGTCACAAATTTAAACACTTCTTTTTAGCTTTCCCCACACCCATAGGCAAGCCAAGGTATCTGGTTGAATGACAGCTTTAAATACCCTGCAGAATTTGGCACACAGAAAGCTTTATGGAGGTATTAGTATTCCTACTAAAAAACACAGAAGACTTTGACAGATTAACCCTTTGGCCAGTGAAGTTTTGGTATACAGCTAAGACCCTTAACAATTCCCTTGCATTTTGAACATCTGCAGCACAGAAAAGAAGAGTATCATCTGCAAATAGAAGATGGGATAAAGTAGTTCCTCCCCTGACAATTTTCAGCCCCTGCATTCTATTATCTGTCATAGCAGCTCTAATTAATCTGGAAAGCACCTCAGAGAAAAGTATAAATTGATAAGGGGACAGAGGGTCCCCTTGTCTGATGCCACGAGAAGGATTCACAAAACCTGTCACCTTGCCATTAATATTGAAAGAATAAGATGCAGATGATAAACAAGCAAAGACCCACTGCACAAAACACCTATGAAAGCCCATCTGTAACATAGTTTTCACCACACTGTTCCACTCAACACGATCATATGCTTTCATCATGTCTAGCTTCACCGCCATAAAGCATTTCTGCCCTGATCTGTGTCTATTCAAATAATGAACCACTTCATGTGCTAAGACCACATTATCCAGTAACTGTCTCTCTGGGATAAAGGCTGCCTGAGTCTCATGAATACAGTGATTTAGATATTCTTTCAATCTTGCAGCTAAAATTTTAGCAACAGTTTTATAAGTGACAGAGCACAAACTTATTGGTCTAAAATGATTAATGGATGAAGGATGTTCACATTTTAGGATAAGAGTCACTACAGTATGGTTCCAACTCTTTAACATTCTACCAGTCTCAAAAAAATTTACAACAGCTGCACACAAATCATCCTTAATCAAGGGCCAAAAATGTTGATAGAACAAGGGAGTCATACCATCATTTCCTGGTGCCTTATTACGATTCATGGAAAAAAGCGCTGCTTTGATTTCAGGTTCCTCCACTAATGCTGTTAAGTTGTTGTTCATCTCCTCAGTGATGGATTGAGGAATAAGAGGAAGAACTTCATTTTCACCCCATGAACCTTCAGATTCAAACAGGTTGCTGTAAAAGTTGATAATAGAGAGTTCAATCTGCTCCTGGGTCTCGACCACCTTGTTCTAAGAGTCAACCAATCTAGATATTGCATTTCTCTACCTTCTGGTCATGGTTATTGCATGGAAAAAGCTGGTGTTCTTGTCACCTTCTTTAAGCCATTGTAATCTTGATTTTTGTCTCCAGAACTCCTCTTCATCAAGGTGAGATTTGTCCAGTTCTTTCTTTATCTTTTCCCATTCCTCCCAGTTTCTCTGTCCTCCCATCTCCCTCATCTCTTCAAGCTTGAGTGACCGTTTTTCAATCTTCTGGACATTATCAGATTTCAGCATTTTGTTCCATATCAGTAGTGCCATTCTAGTTTTTTTAATCCTGTCCTTCACCTGCTCCATTGGACTTCCTGTAACCTCCCCCTTCCAGGACTCCTCAACCACTTCAGCACATCCCTCTTGTTTCAACCACCTTTTATAAAAAATAAACCTTTTATGGAATTTAGGTCTTCTACTTCCTAAGTCCAGAATTAGCATCAAATGGTCAGAAGAACTTCGAAAATAAGTGGTAACTTTAGCTTCAGGGTAATGAGACAACCATGAATATGAGCCAAAAACTCTGTCCAACTTCTCCTCCACAAGATCTTCATTTGGCCTATTGTTCTCCCATGTATATTGGTTCCCCTCCATAGGTATCTCCATCATTTCCATATTAGCTATGAACCCATTGAATCCATCATAACTGTTATAAGGTCTTTCCCTTCCTCCCCTTTTTTCCCAACTGCCACAAAGATCATTCCAATCTCCCCCTATACACCATCTTTCCCCCCACAATAATTTCCCATTTTCCAATTCTCTCCACTGCAGCTCTTTGGTGTGTTTATGTGTACTGCTATAAATAAAGATCATCCACTCAGAGGTATTTGTATCCTGGTGCTTGAAATGAACCTGTATGCAAAAATTCATCTCTAGAACTTGAATAACCTCCACATCCACATTCCAAAACGTTAATAAACCTCCACTGAGCCCCACAGGCTCCACCCATTTCATCCTATCAGCAAAACCTAACTTTTTACATACAGTACCCATAAAATATTTTGATTTTCTAGTTTCAGATAAGAAGACAAAATTTGGGAGGTGGGCCTTAATGGCTTCCTTAAGTTGGGAAACTGTAGAGGGCCCCCCCAGACCTCTACAGTTCCACATGATTGTCTTCATTTATCCAGGTGGGGCCACTCAAGGCTGGCTACCCCCACCTGTTCAAAGTTGTCAGACTGTTTCATTGTGCAGATTCTCTTTACCTTCTCAGACTTCTGCTCCTCCTTCAACTTCTCATCTGAATGTCTCTGCCTTTTACCCCTTTCTGAAGATTGGTATTTTCTTCTGTTGAAGTTGTCCTATTAAGTCTGCCTGCTTTCTGGCCTTTCCTTCTCCAGGTGGCTTTACCCTTTCTGATCAGTTGATCTTTGGGTTCTTGGATAACCAGTTGTTTATTTAACACATTCTGACCCTCGTCCTCCACTTCCATAGCTGCACCTTTCCCATACTTTTTTGCACTTCCTCTGTCCTCCACGATTATGGGACTTCTATAAGCATTTTCAAATGGTTCTGCCTCAAGAGGATGGAACTCCTCCCTAACTGATGATGCTTCTACCATTGGGATTATTGCTGCGTTTAGATTGCTACCTTCACCCATCTCCTCTGTACCCTTTCCTTTTCCAGATGTTGTTGATGCCCCATTGGTAGGTATGTTACTGTTCCCATTAGAATTATTGGATGGATTAGGACTCTGAGAAAATCCTGCAAATCTCCCTATTTCATTTGCTTTCATCCAGTCACCAAATTGACCCTCTACCACTCCCCCTTCTTCAATATGGCAAAGTCTCATTTGACAACCTCTTTCCAAATGCCCCACCAGACCGCAATAGAAACAGAAACTTACAAGCTTCTCATACTGAAAGGATACATTCATCTGTTGAGTTCCCAGCTTGAGATGCGTACATCTTAATAGTGGTTCTGAAATATCATGTGCGACCAACAATCGAAGAAAACTGCCTTTTTTGCCCCCCGCTTTAACAATAGAGACATTCTTCGTCTTCTTAAACATCTTCCCTATCTTCAATCTAAGCCAATGCAAAGGCAACTTATGAACTTGCACCCACAAGGTGATCATTTTAAATCCCTCATCCTGCTCAGTTAAATTCTCCCTCCATTCCTGTAACACTAGATACTAGTTCTCAAAAACCCAGTTTATTCCTGCCATTACTCTCTCCTTGTCCTCTTGGTTCCCAAATATGAACTGAAAAAAGTTCGGCCCCAATTCCTTCACTTCGATTGGTTTATCAGTTTGCCACACAATCCCCATGATTCTTTTAACCCCAAAGGCCGTCGCCTTTCTATCCCCAATAATTTTGCCAAGAAGACTCCTCTTACATTCTTCAGCACTTACACGCACATCCTCATTTGCCAATTCAACTCCCCCGCTTTCTTTGACTGAGAGATGTAGATTAATCATTCTATCGCCCAAATCATCTGCCACCGATACCTTGACCCTAAACACCGATCACGAAACCACCCCGTACACTTACAACCCCCTACTCCAACACCAGTGATTGAAATAGAGATACGACAAGAGAAAATCTGAAATTACACAAATCACACTAATCACACTCTTCCTCAAGAGAATGCACTGTCCATTGAGAGAATTTCGCTCTCTAGTGAGAGAATTTTTAAAAGGCATTACTCAAACAATACTTTTAGTTATCTCAATTTCCTGCTGAAAAAATGGGACTTCATTGTCCAAAATCACATCACCATAATTCATCAAAAGATAATAATCCATAATCAACATCGAAATCCCTTATCAAGTTCAACCAGTTCAAGAATAATCTCAAAACCAAACAGTACACAAGTTTGAAAACATTAAGCGAAAGCGATTATAAAATAAGATAGACCGCCCTCGTCTCGTCATCGCCACGACCATCAACTCAACCTGAAAAGATAGTAATAATGGGGGTGAACAAACAACAAGCTCGCCGTGGGAATACTATGCGATATATTTCAGATAATAATTGACAACATAGTTGCAGCATGAATACAAATCACCACATTTATCACCTGCCTCGTCCTATGCTCATATATGCACACACTCTTGCACGGGACATAATCCGTCTTGCCCTATGCTCATATGTACACACTATTGTACGGGACTCAATCTGACTTATCCTATGTTCATATGTACACACTATTGCATGAGAGCTCAATTCAATAGACATGTGGTTCACACGCATACATTGATTATGAAATCACACTATTATAAGAAATAAAAACAGAGTAAGGTTTATCAACACCCACATGATGTTTGGACAAACGGGAATGCAAGTGAATCATGGTAGATTTGAGGGCTCGACTCCTCCAAAGTCTACATTAAGTAAGATAATTTTTATCACTAAATTATCTAACTTTAACGACACATAAATAAATTTTCGACTGAATCAAATAAATTAATTAAGGGTTATCGAAACACTTCGTGGAATTTAGAATTCTCGAAAAATTGAAACAAGACTCGGAAAAATGGTCACGAGGCTAAAACATAAGGTTCGACTTGAAAACGGGTCGAACGGCTCTAAAACGGATGGGTGAAAACATAAAAACCAAGTTGTTGAAAATTGGATGACTCTTCTATGCGCAGTCAATTTATTTTAAGTATAAATTTTGATGTAGAAAATATTTTGGATTGATTTTTAAAAATACAGAAAGTCAAGAGACAGAAGTACATTTCTCACGAAGACCTCGAATGCAAACAAGCAAGTTAAAGGGATGAAAGCTGGTCAAACTTAATCCACAAGCTGCAACCAAATCTACACAAAAAATGCTCGCGCAGTGATTGTATTTTCAACGTAACTTTATATACAAATTTGATATTTGAATGACATTTGTGCCTTTAGAAACATAACAGGAAAAACTACAAATCATTAGAAGACAATAAAAGTATCCGGACACAAGAAGAGGTACAAAACAAACAAGTAATACAGACGTCAAGTAACACCGAAAGATCAGAAAAACAACGAGCAATAATCGAACTTTCATTATAAAAATGATAAACACCTGATTCTTGTTCCATAGGAAACATAAGAGACCAAACTTTATATCGCATGAGGAGTTTGACATCATTCGACTACGTTTTAGAGGGTAAAAATAGCAATAAATAGCAATCAATACAAGGGTCTCAAAAGGATTTTCAAGGCTCAAACAGCACAAGATTGAACAACGACACACGATGGTTCGGAGATTAAACCAAGGCTCGTTTCCAATAACACAAAAAAACGAAATAACGAGAGTTTCAAATATCCACAATAATCACAAATCCAATCAAAGCTCAAGATCCAATTTTTTCTTCATAAAAAACATTGAATCTTAGCCTTTTGGACATAGATCTATACTCCAATATATAGGTCTATTCGAAATTCACCAACAAAAATTGAAAGAGAAGAAGGACTGAAATAGATACCCGACTTCAAGAATCTACAAGCCAAAGGAAGAACGAATCGAAATGGCACAAGGCACGGACACAGCATTAGCGGCTTCGCGCAGCTTCGGCTTCGAAGGGCCGATTTGATCTTCCAGTAACTCCTATAGTATGACATATGAGTGCTCTTGCTATATTGGAACTTCTCAGGGTGATGGTTTGCTATCGCAGGTAGGGCATTTACGATCTCTAGGTGGGTCGGCTGGTACCTGCTGATTGGGTTGAATGATTGGAGAGAAAGGTGGAACATCTTGTTGGCATGTTCTTCCACGCTTGTGCCTCTTATGAATCCGAGAAGGGACCCACTTTCTCTTCTTTGGCTGTGCTAGTTGCTTTGTTTTTAGTTTGGCTATTGGCTCCAGCCAATGGTTGCTACAAACTCTTGGTGATCTCTCTTTCTTAGGCTCTTCATCATTGTCGACATATCTCACAACATGATCCCCGCTTTTGTCTCGTAAAATGCTATCTTCTCATCTTCTGACCATTAAAGTCATATCATACTGAAAATATATTCGTCAAGGCGCAACTTCAAACCTTCATGGTCCTGCTGCAGCTGCTGTTCGTGGTTCTGGGCATGCTCTGGGCAATCATTGGCCATGTGAACTAGCCTCCTGTAGTGACAACACACGTTTTGTCTCACCAAACCTGCTCCTCGGTGCCTCTGACCACAAGTGGCACAAACCGGAGGTCTATATGCTGGTATCTGCTGTAATGGCTGCACGGACAGTGGAGGAGGTCTGTCTCCACATCGGTCATTCCCTCTATGCTTCTTCCCTTACTGATCTTAGGTGTTAAATTGCTTCTACTAGACTAGAGTTCAAAGATTTTGCTAAAGTTCAAACCTAGCTCGAGTTCTCAAGTCTAATCGGTGGATAAGTTCTAAGCCCCAAATAAAACATGCATATGTTGGAACTAACTTATTTACTCTTACTTGGAGTTGGCGCGGCACGAAGGTGGCGAGTGGTCATATTTTTTCAAAAGTATACAGAACCGTAAAATCGGCTCTGATACCAAACTTGTAAGCACCCTTTACTTATACTTTGAAAACGTCTGAGTTTTAGAAATAATTTCAAACTTTTTTGAAAAGATTTTAACATTTTAAAAGTGGTCTTAGGGTATTTACTTAAAAACTGCTGCTTTCTTAACTTATTGCTCTTATCCTAAGTCCCACTTAGGTTCTCAGAACATCTTGATTCTCGAGACTTATTAACTGATCAATTCAATTTAGACAAAGCAGAGCATGTGATACTCGTCTTAAATTGAAAAGAAATACTGAATCTGCAACATCCAAACATGTTTAAACATTTGAGTAATAACATGTTCCGAAAATCTTTTTTAGCGGAAGCAAATAAACTGCAATTCTAAATAATGACGACCGCTGCCCCTCGAGTCCGACACCAGCTGCTTAACTTGAAAATCATAGTTGCGGAGGGTGAGCAAAACAACTAGCTCACCATAGTAATCTATAATATGCAATTATTCATGATAATAACATGTACCAATAATCTCAGTATATAAATGAATAAATTGGTTTGAACGACTGCTGATCCGTCGCGACTTGCTCGCTAATGATGTCTGTCTCAATTTTACCATCAGATACGTGGACTTGTTCCACTAGCCTACAGGAGCTCTGATGCCCACTCTCAGGCAAAAACTCATGAACATACATCAACTATAAAATACCTTGCGATTATTAAGAATTAGAGCATAGCATACTGGACTGCTTACTGACTGACTGATCTGCTAAATGAATGAATATGTGTCTGGATGAGGTCTCGACTCCTCCTAAATCTATAGATTAAATCATTTCTATCTTATAATTTAAAGGTGACGACATATAAGAAAACAATACAGGCAAGGGCAAACAAAATCACATAAGCAGGTAAAATCACACAGGTGCAAATAAAATAGACAAAACTGCTACTAACTGCTATTGACTGCTCAACTTAACTAGACCGTCTAAAGTTCTCGAAAACCTAACTTAGTCTTGGAAAACTAAACTAAACTGCTAGACTGGATTGAACCGGCCTGTCCATGCTCGGTTAGACCTGGTCCGCTCGCTGAATCTCCTGGGGGTCAACCCGACCACGGCTCAGTTCAAGGGCTCGAGCGCGCACGCGGGCTGTTCCCCGGCTGGCTGCTGGGCGCGCTGGTACACCACTGGTACAGCCTCGTTTGGTCTCGGGTACTAGCAGGCGGCAGGGTGCGGGCGGACGCGGCAGATGATGCGCTGGAGGCGCTGGCAGGTCGGCAGTGCACGCAGAGACGCACCGCGTGTCGCTGGAGCACATGCGCACTTGGACCGCGATTGGTGGGATGCACGGGCGTGCACTGGCAAGATGCACTGGGGTGCTGGGCATCGAACGGCTGCAGATAGGGCGCACGGGCGAGGAGCTAATGCAATATGGCGCAGGGGCGTACTGGCGTCGGTACGTCTAAGTCACGGGGTTGCGCACTGGTGTGGTCATTTGCGGGGATGAATGCGGGCATCTATGAGGGGTGCTGCGTGTAGGCGCTGTGTGTATGGGCCGGCTGCAGACAAGCACCGAGACAGAGGCCCTGCTGCTGGCTGAGGCTTCTCCAGCCAAACATGCCAGACTCGGGTCACTACTCTCCAGGCAAACTTAGGTCCAACTGAAAGCTCACTGAAGGGACTTCCTAACCAAAGCTAAACTCCAAAAAGGACACCTATTATAAGGCTTAAGTCTTCTCTTTTCTTCTCCGATCTTACTCAAATTTAACCCATCTAAGAGGCTAATAACCCTGAGCTTTTGGGCTCTGAACTTAGCATACAACTAGCAGCACATAATCACATCAATAAATCAGCAACAATAACCCAAAGGCACGACAACAATCTCACAAGATAACAAGGCAAAAATACAACATATTATCATGCTATTTCCAACAAATCCTTAGACATGCTTCTAAAACTGAACATGGCTGAACTCATCTTTCTCAACAATAATACATCATTTAAAACCAACATGGCTGAAACTCATATAATATGTCTTAATGTTCGAAATTTTCTATAGCATGTATTTCAAATACTCGTGGGATGAAACTTCATGGGAATACTTATAACTTCAGCAAGAAATAGCACACTAAATGTCGTTTCAAATTCTTGAAAATAGGCAGGGTGTAACGCCCCAAAACAGTAATAATATTCAGAACGGTTTCACTGCTCGACTATAAGTGAAATCCGTAAGTTTCAGAAATTTTCGAGTTATATTATTTATGCTAAATGCTCAAACATGATAAATTATTCTTTGAATAATTCTATCTCAAGTATAAGTTAAGGTTAATCCATTAATTTGGGTTATTAAATAATAGCAAGTCAATTTGAGAAATTACCGGACACGAACCCTAGTTGTCGTTCCGAGTATATTTTCCTAAGTCAAAAATTGAGAGTTGATATTTTAATACTTAGAATATTTTTCTAAGTGTGTTAGAATACCAAAGTCGAGCTTTGGACATTTTATATTGAGCCCTAGTGCTCACCCGAGCCGCCTGTGCCGAGCCCCGCACCCGCGCCTCGTGTCGTGCCAAGCACGTGCCTACCGAGCCCATGGCTTGTACTAAGCCTTGGCATAAGTTGGTAAAATAATTCTAAGTGTTCTTGGACCCTTGGAGAGCCTTAGGACTCGGCCCAAGACCACCACACGCGAGCAGCCGTTTTTCCCGCGCGCAGCCTGCTAGCCGCACAGCCCAGCAGCCTCTCGCGCCCAGGGCCCAGTGCCGCGCCCGGGGCCAGCGCCCAGGCCCAGCGCTGGCAGCGTGGCAGCCCAATATTTTGAGCCCATTTCATATGTTTTCGGCCCAAATCCTCCATGACCCAACTCATGCGGTTATTAAGGACTTAATAAGGGTTAGATTAAGCTAATTTGGCCCTAAGCATTGTTAAGGGAAAGTCAACACATCATTTGCCAAAGTGAAGCATGTGCACACATTAGTTTATTCAAGTATTTTTGTCCTTGTCCCCCATGCAACCTCCAAACCTGACCTGACCTCTCCACTATGATATTATACTCTGAAAATGGTCTCTAAGACCGTGCAATATCAGCCCAAGGCCATGCCCCATCACCCCTCTCAAGTTCCCATGCAAATGGAGTGGAATAAGACCACTTATCATGTCCCCTTTGACCCAACCTTGTTAAATCCGCCCAAACCTCTTTATAAACAGCCTTCTTCAGTCCATTTGAGACTCTTAGACATTCTGAGACTTGAGAGCTCGAGCACTTTGAGAGAAAACAAGAGAAAAGAACCAAGAGCCCTTACCTTGCACCACCGCACGCGCCTAGCCCGGGGAAGGAGGAGCAGCGAGGTTCAGCCACTTGCAGCCATATTCTCTCGAGGCTTAGCATATTCTAAGTGTTACTTAGATTTTTCTAAGTCTTTTAGAAGGGATAGGCTCGAGAGAATCACACCACAAGACCACCATTAGCACCAAAGCCGTGCATAACCACATTTCGAGCCCTAGTTCATTATCTCCATTTCTAACCGAGGTAAGCTCGGGATTTTTATGTTCATTAATTATTTTATGATATTTTAAGATTTTTCATGAAGAGAAACCGAGCCATGCATGTCATTATATATGATTTACGAATTTTTGAATTAAATGGCCTTAAAAATAAAATTTTAGTTGCATGCATGCCAAAGTCGAAAATGTTGGTTAAATCACCCTTAAATATCATACCATTGATGCTGTAAAAATTTGAGAATAAATGGAGTTCATTGCCTTGGTCAATTCATTCATGAAAATACGCTATTTTGGCCACCCGAGGCCCATCCTCATGCATGCATGTTATGACCTAAGTGTTAGCCACTATAGTCATCATTTGTGATGTATAACATTCGGCCCTGAGTAGTTTTGTAAGTTATGAATGTTGGTTCGGACGTCAAGTGCTCGTACGGGCCGTATAAGCCCTACCGAGTGAACATGCAAGTGGACCCGGGGTCCACTAGTGTTTCTTAGCATTTTTGTAGCACATTTATCATATAAAGTTGTTATGTCATGCATGTCACCGGAAAAGTCACCGGAGGTCCGGCAAGGGCCGGCCCTGGTCACTGTCCGCGCATGTAGTGCGGTAGTGCCCGGCCCCAGTGCCTGTCCGTGCCTGCAGAGGGTAGCCTTAGCCAGTGCCCGCGCCCGGTAGGCGCGAGGCACAGCCCGCGTGCACGCAACAGCGCCCGCAGCGCCCAGTGCGTGCCCGTGTGCCAAGCATAAGCCCCAGTAGCCCCAGCACGCGTGGCCATGGCACCCAGCGTGCCCAGCCATGCGCACGGCGCCCGGCAGCGCCCGTGCAAGCCCCAGTGCACGAGGTCTCGTGCCAGAGCCTCGTGCCAAGTCCAGGGCTGACCCGAGCCGGGCCAGCTGAGCCCAGTTGGCCTCGGTGCATGCCCCAGCAGCATGCCCGAGTGCCCAGTGACCTCGGGGACACCCGGCAGCGCCCGTGTGGTCTCTGTCCGTGCCTTCCCCGTGCCAGCCGTGTCTGGCCAGTGCCTGTCCGTGCCCAGCCGCACGACAGCGCCTCAGTCGAGCCTCGGCCGTGCCCAGCACGCACCCGAGGGGCACCAGTCGTGCCCGGGCCGTGCCAGCAGCCCCTGGCCGTGCCCACCAGCGCCAGTCCGCGCCTAGCCAAGTCCAGCGGCACCAGGGACCGAGCCCGGTCGCACCAGCCGTGCCCAGCGCCGTGCCCGGGCACCAGCTGGCCCGGCACGGGACCGAGCCCGGTCTAGCCGAACCCAGCCCGACCGCCCGGCCCAGTCGAGCCGGCGGTCCGGCCAGCCAGCGAACCGGCCGGTTCGACCGGCGGTTCGAGTCAGTTTTTACTCGTGATTTCTGATCCGAGTCCAGTTCCGGAAATTTCAGTATTTTTCCGAGCCAGTCCAGTCCAGTTTAATCGCGTAGATAAGTCCGAGCATTTTAGCATATAATTAAATATTCTGAGCATTATACTTAGCATTATTTTGCTTAAATATTTATGTAGCCTAAGGAGAGTCGAGCCTCCGACCGCTACTCCAGCTTCCGCACTTGCATACCAGATTTCAAGTTTTCAGGTGGGGGTCATGTACTGGATGTCACATCATAGATAATATCTGTACCATGGCAGAGGTATGTTTGAGACAGTTTAGTTCCGGGTTGGGTGGCCGAGGCCTTTATACCCACCTGATGACCGTTGGGAGGGGCGAGGCCCTTTCTACCCCATCGGCGTGTGCACACGAGCGGCTACGGCCGAGGGTCTTTTGACCACAGATCAGAACAGACATCAGAGATCAGTTTACAGTTTCAGCTCTTATATATTTATGTTTCATGATACGTTATTATAGATGATGTTTTGTTCAGTACTGGTCTTTGCGGAGCATAGTGGTTTGCTCACGCCCCCATTGTGTTTTTCAGGAGACGGAGTCGAGCGTGCCGGATGAGCACAGATGTGGCGCAGCGTGGTCATGAGAGTCGGACATATTTTACCAGCATTTTTATGTCCTAAATTTATGATCATGTGTATTTTATTCAGTTTATGTACGCATGTTATGTATTCGTATTTCGGATGCTTCCGCCAGCGAGTTTTCTAGACAGTGCGAGACAGTACAGACTATGCATGTATAATTCCATAATCCGCGAGCGGACAGTTTGGTTGCATGTTTTGTTATGTCTGTGGGCAAGCCCAAGTTTCAGTTTAAGTTTTTATCTGCCACATCCCGCAATAAGTCAGTATTTTCGAAAACCCAGCTCGCACGTTCTTTCGAAAATAAAAACAAAAAATTTTACTCTGATTTTCAAAGCTAGTAGTAAGGCGGGGTGTGACACAGGGCTACTTAAGTAAAAAAGACAACGAAACATGCTTTAACTAAAAAATTTCCATAGCATGATTCTCTAAACATTCTAGGCTGAAAATCCAAATGAATGCCCATAACATATGTAAAAAATAACATTAAAATTTTGGCTTAATTGGACGAATATAAGCTTGGAAAAATAAGGCACAAATTCAACATACATGACAAAGCATCACCTTAGACATAACTTAATTCAAAAAATTTTACAAAATGCAATTTTAAGTCATCTAGGGCTGAAATTTCACATGGATAATCATAACATATACTAGACATAACAGTAAAAATCTCAACTCAATCGCATAACTATATGTTGGCAAAAAATCGAGACAAACAAGCCTCTAAAACATGCTTTTCTAAGGCCAAAAATCAACATCAAATGGCATGCTTCTTTAACGCATAGAACTGAAATTTAAACATATAGTTTAACATAATCTCAGCCCATAAAACCGGTGCAAAAATTCTCGAATGGTTACCTTTCTTCGGGTTTAAAACCAAAGGAAAAGGCTCGGTTTTGTGCTACTAGGTG